TGTTGGTGGTGTGGGTTGTGTTCTTGTGACTGGCTGCTAAGGTCTGGATGGACGACTACAAGGAACTCTACTACAAACGTCGGCCTGACGCACGTGGTCGTGACGTTGGCTCACTGACCAAGCGCAAGGAGCTGCGTGAGCGTCTCAAGTGCAAACCGTTCCAGTGGTACATCGACAACATCTTCCCCGAGCTCTACATCCCGGGCAAGAGGTCGCTAGCGCTGGGAGTGGTACGTCTTGACGTGCAGCAGTGGTCTGTGTGTGCGTGCGTGTGGGTGTATGTGTACGGGGGGGGGGTGCGGGTGTGTATGCGCGAGTTGCCAACCTATCAGATGGCTGCCTTCTTGCCGAATCGCTTTAAAGTTGGGCACCGTAATCTCTAATCGGGTGTGCAGCTAGTTTATAGCTGTCATAGCTGACATTGTTAGCCTGTCTATTGCCCCATGGCTCCCAGGGATACGTTCGCGCCAAAATATGAGTACATGTGACTGAATCTCCATGGCAGCATCACGCACGGGATGAATCCTGCCGTCATGTAAATCGCCTCTTACGGGGCTGCTCAATATAGTATTTCCTATTTCATTTCACGGTGCCAGTGCATCGTCTTCCTATTTGGAGTAGATTATACCTGTTGCTAATTCAGCCTATGTGCAGATTCACTCTGATTAGCAACACACGTCACCTGTTTCTGGCAACGAGCCATTGCGCGCGCCTGTGTGTGTGTGTGTGTGTGTGTGTGTGTTGTGGTAATGGATGGGAGCTGTAATTGCGAGTCTGGGCCCGATACTAGTCTGTGTCGTATGTGCCACTCTAACGACGTCTCCCTCCTCGTGCTCATGCTTGGTGTGCTGTGCTCTCTGTCAGGTGCGCAATCCGAAGAGTGACCTGTGCTTGACGAGTAACGGCGGTCTCTCCGATAACTCCGCCATCGTTCTTGGCAAGTGCAACCCACAGGAGATCAGCCAGGTGAGTGCTGCTGGCCTAGCGTCTTCGCTTTCCCCGTTTTTTTATTTTTTTATTTATATTTGACTATCAACACAGCCCTACTGGAACACATGTGGAGAACAAAAAGAAACAAGGAAAGGACAAAACGTGGGAGGGGGGGTGTAGGGACGACGTGCCGAATTAGTTCCAACATACCTGCATGAATTTTCGTTTTTTTCCTCTTGTATAAATGAGCCCATTGCGCATTGCCAGGTATGGAACGTATGAGCCGTGCATGTGAGTACGCTAGGATGAGCAATGCCAGTGCATTGCTCATCCAACACCCCACCCGGCACCCGACCATGGCCAGGTGGCTGTGTGGGGGACAGCCAGTGGTACACGCTAGGTCATTGCGTATTGTCCTAATGAGTTTATCACACTTTATGAGTAGCTTCTGCGTTTGACAATGTACATGTACTGTAAATAATTATACAAATTTTTGGCAGCTATTTAATTTCGGCTATATTCGGCACCGACCCAAAACGCCTAAATTAAAACACCAATGAAATTTTTCACAGCACCTGTCGCACTATACCATGCCCTCTACCCCACACCGAAATGTCAAAAATCGTGAAGTGCCGAAATTTTGTATATTTACAGTACTGGTAACCACACTGAAACACATCTCCTTGCAATGGTGCACATCTCCATTCATCTCCGCACAAGGCAGCATTTTAGTGGCGTATGATCTTTAGCTTGCTATTTCTTTGTCACAAGACAGTGCTCAATATGTTTCACATCAATGTAAGACTAAGTCCACCGCACTGTGCACGAATGTCGCATTCTTTTTGTTTCGTTCTTACCATGAAATGAACAGTCTGTCTCCACTCTTTCTTCTCGTGTTGTACTGGCAGAGCTTTGACTACACTCTGAAGAAGGAGCTTCGTTATGATGAGTACTGTGTGGACGCATCGCAACGCACTCCCAACTCCCCAGTTGTCTTCTTCCCGTGCCACGGCCTGGCCGGCAATCAAGAATGGGAACACCGACCGGTAAGACGAGAAGATTAAGAGAGCGCCCGTTGTCGCCGCTGTATGTACTGTCGCCAGGAATTGCTGTGTGACACAGGGTGTGGGTGTGTGTGTGTGTAGGTGTGGGTAGGTGGGTGTCGGTGTGTGGGTGTGTATGTGTTTGTATGTGTTTGCGTGTGTGTGGGTGGAGCATAGTTTTCTACTGTGTGTTCACGTGCACGCACAGTGCTGCTCAATGAACTCCCGTTGTGTAAGTCGAGGGTTGCACAGCGCCCGGCGTGACATTGACTCGCTTGATTGGATGCCATTGAGCAGCACTGCACCACTGACTGGTCTACTATGCACTGCATCGTTCTGCAGAAACCGAAAAAGATTGTGAACCGTGTGTCCGCGGTCGCAGGTATCTCATGTCACGTCGGAAGAAGTGGTATCGTGCATCTGCCCCTATTGTGCAATATGACCAACTGCGACTGTTTTTTTTGTGACGACTTTGGCTGCCGTGTCAAGTATGACCACTGCCTACGTTGTAAGCGGCTTTGACTGTGTTGTTGTTGTTGGCTGCAGGACGGTACGTTGTATCATGCATCTACTCAACAATGTATGGACCGTGGCTCAGCTAGCTTTGGTGGTAAAGTAGTCATGAACGACTGCAACAGCGAAGAGCCGTCGCAGATCTGGTCACTCACTCTCGTCGAGCAGAAGGCCGCAGCCTAGCCGGGATTACCAGCGGTGCGCGGGCGGCCGCCAACGCCACCTTGCTTGGTCAGCGCACACTCTACTGCTGCCAGCATGGAGCACTGCTCAACTCGCATGAACCGTAGTAGTGTGTTGCGACGCGCACACACACACACCGTCTCTGAATCTGCCGTCTGGCCGCTTACTCGTGTGCCAGTGTGCCTTGTATTGACATGATGACGTCACAGTTCCAGGAGCAACAGCAGTTTGAATCCACCTCGCCAGTCTCCATTCTATATTTAAGCCAACCGGTCCACGCCGTCCCCCGGTCCCACGACGTCCGTGGCCCATGCACAGCACTGGATTCCACTGCTTGCTTTCGGTGTTCCCGTGCTGCGCGCTACGTCCTACTGGTGCCAGCCTGTGCTCTCATCCATTCCGTTTAGTCCACCAATGTCCTATCATCGAGCCTGCGTCCGTCCTGTCCTGTCCGACATGTCCTATAGGGATGCCCCGAACATACCATGTACATAATAATCACTAGGGCGTAGAACGTTTTTTTTTTAATGCTGGCAATGCATGCATCTTTGCCCGTGATACACCTGAGCTGAGCTGATTTTGGCAACTATTTCTATCACTTTCGGATCCGCCAGCACCCAGGCGTTGAGGCAGATGTAGCGCCGCTCCCCTCAAGAGGTACGCTGCCCGATTGGGCAGGCAAGCGCAACCCGCCATGGTTCTGTGGATGCACCGATTGCTAAGTCTCCACTTTCTATTCTCTAGTCTTACGGCGGTAAGGTCTTTTCTGCTCGTTCGGCAGACAGCGTACCACTGTTCCGCTCGCTCCAGAAGGCATTACCTCTTGCGGTTCCGTTTCTAAATATGTTTGTTTATCATGATAAACCACCACTGAGAATAATGTCGCTGAGGCAGTATAAGTCCATGCACTACATACATTGTACATTGTACTTCCAGTACAGTCAAAATCATAGCCCTCTGTTTGCTTGTGTTGCGAGTCTCAAGGAGTGTATTATGTTGATTGTTCATGTATGTGCAGAACAGCCCCGCTCGGAGCAGTGTAGGGCTCTCGGGTTAGAATGAACGCCGATAGCACCAGTGCGGTTCGTTTCGGAGACTTGTACCGGTAATGCCCAGGCTGACTACCCACTTTACCCACATACCAAACATGCATGATACCAGAAAAACTACCAAATTCTGCCAACCGTTCTGCCGACATTTATCCGCCAAGGGCTGTACCACACAAGGGTATGCTCCTCTCATCCATTACATCAAGAGATTATCATAACCCTGTGGGCGTGGGTGCTACAATACTCTTGATGACATAGCTATCATATTGTACCTAAAAAAAAGTCCTTACCCAACCACATGTACATGTATGCCTATGGTCAGGGTGACACCAAGGCAAGAGTATTGTAATAATAAGCTTTGGTCTGTTGGGAGCAGGGAGTCGTAAAATGGTTGGGAGCTTATACCGTATTATCTCTAATATAAGCACAGTCTCCAATAATAGCACGTCTCCAATAATAGAACACCTTGGGGCGGCATTCAAAAAAATAAAGTGCTCAGTCTCCATTATAATTTATAAGCACACTGTGTAAATTCATTATCTGTACCGGCGAAAAAACCCTGAAATGTGCGCGTCATACATGAATTTGGCATGGCAACTTGCCTCTGAAATGAGGTTGAAATAATAATGGAACAGTCTCCAATAAAGGAACGTCTCCATTAATAGCACGGGGGCGGAGGTACATTGAAAAAATAAAGGACTGTGCTTATATTAGAGATAATACGGTAAGTAACAGTTATAGTTATGCACTCCAGTCTCTTGCCATCTTGGTGACCATGTGACTTGTGCGCTCTTTCCAAACATGCCTAGCTCCTCTGTGAACCATGGTAAACCAGGTGTACTACATGACCATGATGACCAGATGGCTAGTCCTGTCGGTCTTGACTGAGTCTATGCAGTGTGTAGTCACTACTACCACATACTTACTACTTAGTACAGACACACTGGTGCTACGGCCCGTTGCCATCCTCAGTTGTTGTCCTGACAACGCACTAGTTTGCCAGCGATACAACAAGGAGTATTACTATTAGTTAGTTATGCGGTCACCACACACACACTGCCGCATGCCGTCTCTGCAGACTAGACTCCGAGTCCGGGCCGAGTGCACAGAGTTTTCACGGTCATCATGCCTTTATCATTGTTTATGCCGGTTCACAGAGCGGCCCACACGGCCACAGACGCCAATCAACAGCACTGTCTGCTGCACAGACTCAGTAGTAGAGAGGGCAGTGAGGGGATTCATGATGATGACTCGGCTGTGTTGCCCGGGCCATGCTGACTGTTGACAAGACATCCCCGGCTACATTCTTCCACACCCCCAGTCCCAGATCGATGAGATGACCGTTGACGGCACTTATCACTTTGTAATTGTGCGCAATTATAGAGTTACCCGGGTGGTAGTTACTAACAGTTGGAGTAAAATCCACCCGCAGAGCGTTCTGCACTTTTGGGGAAGCCTTGCAGGCTGCTGCTCAACTCATGTAGCTACTCGCTTTCTGCACTCCATTCGAAATCAAGTTAGTTGCCAGACTTTAGCCATAGGCAGGACGAAAAACCGCCCAGTACAGTGCAGTAGCGTGTTTGTCACCAAATTATTGCAAAGACACAACAGTCAGCAGTTGCAGCATTCCTACTACTAAAATAATGTACTAGTACTAGCTAGTCCTGTGTACAACGATAACGTTACAAGCAGATCAATTATTTTCTCCGGATCATTGCGTGTTGCCGTTCAGAGCGCCGGCTAGTAATAGTATCGATGCGGCAGGCCTAACCCCATTGCCAGGTGTATCGTGGCCACCAGTTACCAGCACGGAGCAATGTCGCTGCCGGCTGCCAGCGCCAAGCGCTCGACGGGCAAGCGAGAAGCTGGCGCGTCGCGGACGTGCACAGCGACGCAGCGCCGACTAGCACCACTGGACATGACTTATCGTGAAATTCAGCGGCTTGAGCGTAAGTAAAAAGTGATTATGGTGGAATAAATTTATCACTGGTATTCTGGTATTGGTACAGTGCTAGCTGGCAACTGAAATCCGACTCCTTAGCGGTGCGTCCGCATATATACTAGTACTAGTAGCGGTCTCTGTTTCGTAGCTTTACCATCCCGTGTAGGGTCTCACGGGTCGGATTTCAGTTGCCAGCACTGTACTAAAGTAACAGGCAGTACAGTGTAGCCATCATCATAACTATCAGGCATCACTCTGCAGTGTCTGCACTATTATACTTATAGACAGTGTGGATCTACCCTCCAGGCTTGTGTCCCTCGTCCCTCACACACAAACTGTCGAAGGGATTGAGCCTGATGCAGAACGAAGTCAGGGTAAGAGGGAGGGAGGGGGGGGGGGGGGGGGCTGCATGTACATGTACGGTACTGTTCAATGAAATCCAGTCGCGCCGCTCAAGTACGTGCCGGGCCGTTGCACAGCCCTAGACCTGTGAACACTGGGCTGGTAAAAGGTGCAAAACCCAAATTGACCAGGATCAAATTGACCAGGATCTAATTGACCCGGATCAAATTGACCAGGATCAAGGACTGTAAATCGACTACTGGCTGTGCATGACTCGTGTACGGTGCTGGCCCTTGGCTTGGGTCCTTGGCTTGGGTCATGGGGTAACAACTAATACTTACTATTACTAACAAGGATTCTACAATGCATGCATAACGTGCACGAGACAATCATTGAACCTGTGACCAGGATGACCCAGTACATGTGTACAAGTAACGTTAGTTCAGTAGAGGAAAGATCACCATTCAGCGAGCTGCAGTTGAATGATCCCCGCTCCGAGGAGGCTGTTATGTATCGTGCAGCAGGCATTCCCAATCGACTTTCGCCACATGACCCGGCGTTCTGTTCATGACGTCACATGAGCCCAGCCAGTGGAGTAGCAGGCACGGCTGTGGTTGCAAATGGCTCATTGTGGAGACGCTTCAATTGCCTAGCTCTATCTCTATAGAGGTTAAGCAATTACATCATCATTGCATCATCAGTTGAGATGCTGTGGCAAAGTCGTGGACTCTTGACAAAGCACTGTATTTGCACTAGCACCTCACGCTGCATACTTAGCGCCCATTAGAGAACCCGCCATGAAATCATCCGCATAGCTCCTCTATAAGATAGTTGCACCCGCCGCTACGTGCTGCACCTGCCGCCTTGGTATACTCAGCGGCATGGCGGTGGCCTAGCACAAGCGAAACTTCCTAAGCTGGTTGTGTTTCTGAACACAATTGTATAGCCGGTGGTAACGCGAACGTGCGAACGTTATTTTTCACCCACATGCACTAGGCGCCTGTCTCTAGATCACAGCAGGCTTTCTGAATCCAGTTTTACCATGCCCAGTCTTCATACGAGTACTGCATGCAGATTGTGCTTGCATCACCTGCTCACGAATGGAAATACCTTTGAATCCCGTATATGCCCTAACCCACATGCACTTTGGTTATGCAGCATAAGACAGTATATCACGCGGTCAAGCAAGTTGTGCAGCAACAAAACACAATCAAGGCTCCACAGCACAGGTGCATGTGTATCGCATAACGTTTGCGTGCTTGTGTGTGTCGGTATTATGTGTATGTGTGTGTGTATGTGTGTGCACGTGTATACACCTGCGTGTGCATCTGTGCATATGTGCATGCATGTGTGTATGCGTCGACTTTCACCCTGTGCACAGTGGCTATAGATATCCTACCTCGCGGGGAAATTCCCCGGTCCGTGGTGGCCACCATGAACTTCCCTGATGTGGTAAGTGTTAATGATAGGGGTTTTCCCGCCTAAGGCATGTGAATAGTCGCCATGGAGATAATAACATGGTAGGATGGCTATGAACAAAATTAAACCCGTGCTCATGTCAAACAGCAAAGTTAAAAAAAGTAAACTATCGTATCCGTTCCCGAAGGGAACTCGCGACGGCCGCTAACACCCGATAAACCCTAGCGGCAGATGCAGCGCCTAACGGTGGGGGTTTGCTACAGCTACATTGCTTCAGCAAAGTAGCAATGGTTTTGTTGCGGAACGTTTTTTTCCCGCTTTTCAGTATTCTGGCCCGAACACTGGAATGTGCACTGGCGCAGGGCCTGAAGTACATGAAAGCGTAGATTTTGGAGATAATATTATGGTACTCTTACTACAGTAATTAAATGACAGGCACTGACTCTAGTCTGGCTTTCACTGCACATGCATGGTGCCATAGTGACACACATGAGAGGACAAGCATGTGTCACACCGCCGTAGTGTCTCAGCGGCGACGTTTCTATCACCCGTCTGTTCAGTCCATCACGTCACATCACACCGCGTGCACAGTGGACACAAGGGAAGTGTGAAGTGCCGCGTAATTTCATGTGACAAATCTCGCATGAGCCTGTTGTGCAATGTATAACTTACTTGGCATCACGTCGCATCACACTGCACGCATAGTGGACACCAGTGAAGTGTGAAGTGCCGCGTACTTTCATGCGACAAATGTCGCAGTCTCTTGCAAAATTTATGACTTACTTGCTTGGTCAGGCTATCATTACATGCACGTATGCTTTCCCCCGGCTGTCATTTACGTGATTTAGTCATTGTTATCGGCCTCTGCTGGTGCATGTTACAGCAAGGCTGTGTTTGTGTGCAAGACAACGATGCTTAGTCTAAGAGTTACAAATTCCCGTTTTTAGCTGCGCAGGACGGTGTGGATCGCAACTCATTAGTCAGGTCATTGAAGAATGCAGGCCTTGGGAGCTGTTTGTCCTGTTGCTGTGCACAATGCCGGAGGTCCACGTCTGTTGAAATGGCTCTCATGTTTCCAACCACCTGCAGTTGTCTGCAGTATGTATTTGACATGATATAGCCCTCAGGTTGGAAATGTGTATGCTGTAGTGTGGGTTTGAGCCGCGACTTGGTCCTTGAACCAGGGAGGCAGTGTACTACTCCCTGCATTGAACTATGCATTTGTCCAGTACACTGCACGCTGCAATGCAGCCAAGCTCATGTCATTGTTTGTCAGCCTCGTAGCCCAGGCCGTTCGTATTTTCATGTACCATGGTCTATGCACAGTCAGAGTCACCGTGCCTACATTGATTGGTATGCTGTGCTTGGCGAAATTCTAGCCTGGCCGTTCTTCGGCGCCCGGCAGCACTGTTGTGTGAGTGGCTTAGCAGTTGTCTGTGTCATGTGCAGTCAGACCTCGCTTATCCGGTCCTGTTTTTATCTGGATCCCTCGCCATCCGGAAGAAAATCGTTGCTTACCGATTTACAGCATATGCCATGCATACGTGCAGTATGTGTGTTCAATTATCCGGTTCCCTCGCCGAATAGCGACCCTCGATCGTGCGTGAGCGAATTGTCGTGATTCGTGAGGTTGAACTGAAGTATGCAGTGAAATGATAATTAGGTCTATAGATGTTGTTATTCGCGAGTTGTTATACATGAGGTTGTTATTCATGAGGTTGTTATTCATGAGGTTGTTATTCATGAAGTTGTTATTCATGAAGTAGAATTGATCTAGACTGACCCTATCCCCTTGATTTCCTAACGTGATAGTAGGCAGCTTGATTCTTTCTGAATGAACTGCTATTGTCGTCAGGGGTATCCTGCATGAACGAATGTTGTGTTGGGCTACCTGGTGGATTTACATGTACTCTGCGATCTTTTCTCCCCTGTTTCCTCGTGTCGACGCCGCATACAGACGGACGTCATGGGCAAGAATCAAGACGGCGCCGGTGCAGACAGTCTCACGACGCACGTGATCCGCCGGCCAAACCGGCAGCAGCGGCGCAAGCGACCTAAGTACGAGGACGACAGCAGCGACTCGGACACGGAAGTCGTACTCGCCGAGCGAGAGGTACGGCGCTACAAAAGCGACGTACTGAAGCTGGCCAACAACCACATCCAGAAGATGACCACGTTCCAGTTCTTCATCGAAGCCGTTGTCGTCGAGCCGCTGATGATCACCTGGCTGGACCTCTCCTTCAACAGCATCACCAAGATACCAAGCGTGAGTTTGAGCAAACTACCAACCATGTAACTTGTTGCATACGTTGCATTAATTTCCAAATAAATGCAGTGGGCTGCAGCATCCTCTATTCTTTACATCCAGAAGGACTATAATATTAATAATGCAATGAATAAAACTATACTGCGCACTCGTATCACAACCATAGCAATGAATAAAGTGTTCCAGAACGTTTTCTAAGAACTCAGATGGTGAGCCGAGGAAAAAACGTTTTCTCAATTATCAATAGAATTCATTCCTTTTACAAGTAGTCACAAATTCCATTGATAATTATGACAAGAAAACGTTCTGGAATACTTTATTAGTTGCTATGGTTGTGATATGAGTGCGCAGTATAGTTTTATTCATTGCATTATTAAGATTATTGTCTCCATGTCGCCTTTTTAAACAGTTAGTTATACTTCCTCCGCGTCATCGAAATTGTCGCAGTTTGACTTTTGATATAAAACGGGGTATTTCAGTACTCACCAGCACTCGTACCAGAGGCAAGGAATCAGACATAGGCGGTAGTCATCAGTATAGGGTGACGGCAAAGTTCTATTTTCTGTTATTGGAAGCTGAAATTTTTGAACTAGACGCAATTTCTTCGCTGATGTCGCTTCGATGGTAATTTCAACTCGCTGAGATCAGTCAGGCGTTGCAGCCTGCACATTTCTCGTGCTTATGACCATTCACTCAAGCCTCATCACTGTTTTACCTTAGCTGGGGTGAGAATGACTTCGTGGAACAGGTGGCAGCGCTTGGTGGGACATCGAGGGGTCAGCAAACTAAATGCATGCAACAGCTATAAAATTTGTCGCTCCGGCTGAGACACTCAGTACATGATTGTACATGTACCTGCAAGAGCCGTGTTGACTCTACATGTAGTGCTAGTGATGCACGCGCAGGTGCCGTACCAGTGATGCTGACAAAGAGGGCGCGCTGGACGTGATAGAACACTTACCTGCATGAGCTGTGACCACACAGCTAAAATAAATGGTCATGCCACGGCTAAAAAATGTTCATTTCAAGATCGAGGTGATTCCGAGGTGATTCCGCCGACGGTAATCAACCGACCTCGCAACGATCGTGTATTCTTACTAGGCTTCGTTGGTGGTGAAGTAGAAATCATCCAGAGCTAGCAGACGACAAGAATCGCAGCTCTTGTCCTGTGGAGAAAGTCAAAGCGTTTGAGATGAGGCGCGACCGACTTTCAACCTTCCTTGAAATATTTCGGAACGATATTTTTGCGTCCATTGACATCAGCGACGACGAAGACTTCATCTCGGCATGAACACTTTCAGTCCAACTGTCCTGGAACGTTACTCTAGTCTTCAGACTATCATCCTGTGTAATAATTTTTGAATGGTTTAGCTTATGGAGTTGTCAGTAACAAGTGACAAGTCACTGGTCAAACTGCGACAATTTCGATGACGCGGAGGAAGTAAAACTATAATATTGATTTTGACTAATTGGCTATAGCTATAGTGGTATCCTCCGTCCACCCTGTGCTATGCTGTCATCATCATACCTGGATATCTAATGCACAGCTCAACTGTACAGTCCGTTTCAAAAGGATTAGCAACCCTGGCGATCGCCCGGGGAGTTTGCCGTCTTACCGTATGAGCGCTCGAGCGCTGCCTGGAAAAACTCACTGTGAACTCGAAGATATATTCCGCACGAAAGCATGAAAAATGATAACTCACTCACTTCGATATTCTGGTTTACAACAAACGAGTTCTTCCTCGTATCGATATGGAGTCAGAGAGGACATGTCGAAAGTGTGGTAAATGTTGACGAACGGCATGGGTCACCAAATAATTTCTTTGAGCTGCGATTCAATTATTTACTCTCACCATGTGACGAAAACGACATCGACAATTCGACATAGACTCATTCCCAACTTGGCAAAGCTTGGCAAAGCTATCCCGTGTGAAAGCTGATAGAAGACGGCGTTGACTGCTAAATTCAAATAAATTGGCGATCTTGAAATACTAAAATAATTCTCAAAAAGAAATCGATCGATCGATGTGCCGGTGTATTCAACACGTAGCTACAGCGCAATGACTTCCGTATTCACTCACACAGTTTCAGTATTGTGGGTGTGTTCACATGGCATTAGCCAGTCAAGTGCCAGTCAGTTCGGCAGGAAGCGCGAGCTCCAACAGCAAGTCGTTTGGTGCAGCCACCTTCAAGGCTTTGTCTTGTACCAGCTTGATTACCAAAACAATGAAAAAAAAGTTGGACTTGAAGATAGGTTGGGATTTGAACTCACAACTTCATGGTCAGCAGACAACATAATTATAACCACAAGGCCAAAAAGGAAAAGATAAATCGTGGGTTTTGATAAAAAAAATCGATACTGGCTTCCAGGGAAAATTGTAAACCATGGGAAGAGGCCCGAAACCTGGCCGAAATTCTAACTCCTTAACGGCTAGTCCAATTGTTCCGAAACCTTCACAGAACAATGTGCCGTGTCCTAACAAGCCCTTTAATGTACTTTGTTGTCCAAATTTCCCTGATCTTCATACTTTTTAAGACCAAAACCTATTATTATTATGAACTTTTATTTTACTAGGGTGTTTCCCACAGACCTATGGTCTTCTTACGGGAGCCCCTAGAACCTGGGATTCGAGCCCGCACTATCGCGCGCCCTCCATGCATCCCCCGATACACTTCGCATACATACTAATTCTTCCAAGTTGCTTCACGTACATACTAATTCTTCCAAGTTGCTTTACGTTACGGGCAATAAATAAGATAAATTGTGCACTCATAACAACAGCAAAAATGAAGAAAGTCAAGTTCCATAACGTTTTCTTGTGACTGTCATCAGTGGAACGCCGTCACATAAAAATGTAATAACTAAAACACACACTTATATACATGTAGCTAATATGGCTTCAGGTAGAAATACAGCAGCTAACAAGTACAAAAAGCGAAGTTTGCACCTTTGCAATGTGTGAATATAGTGTATGTGAGAAAGGTAGTGGCAGATGAATGTGATACTGTGTGAATGAATGTAATGGTGCGTGTGTATTACTTGAAGAGTGTGAGAAAACCTCAGTGTCTGCTCCAGCGCCGGGTGAGCCGGGTAATCCACCCGGTTGGGCGGCGCTTGGACCCGGTTGAAAATATAGTACCGGGTCACCTGTGACCCGGTTGGTACTTTACACTTTCGAACTTTGAAAGGACTGACTACATGGCTTGTATGTGTCAGCTACTTCTTCTTCTTTCGTAATTTTCTAATTCCTGTCCTCTCTTTTCTAAATGAGGCTTATCCATTCGCCTTTATATCATTGACATTGGGCATAGTTTCCGTTTATTTTCCGAATTAAAATAAACCAACCAACCAAGTAAGTCATGATTAGTTTGCCCGTCGTTTGAATGACCTGGCCTATAGCATGTGACTCGGCTGGTGGGACAGCGCCAGGTACATTGTGTACCCGGCTCCGACCCGGTTGAAATGGTTGCGCCAGGTACACGGGTACCCGGCTGTCCTACAATCCTAGAGCAGACACTGAACCTGATTGCTAATCTTTTTGAAACGGACTGTAGTAGTGTAGAGTGCTTGTAAGTCCAGGATTGAATTAGCAATCTTTTACACGAAAGGAAAAAAGTTTCGCTTGTGGGTGGGTCGAGGAGTTTCGCTTTGAAAATATTGGTAGCTGAAACATCAATCAATTCTAGCTGTCAAGTCAGTATATTTTTCATTCTGGGAGGTGGATGGGGAAGGGTCGTAACTAAACTTTTTAGTTCCGTGAAAATTATCGATAATGCCAGATGGCCTCTATTAAACTTGACTTCCTGTGTTTGTTTTTTCGTGATTGTGGCGTGCAGTACATTTCGCTGATGAAGCACCTGACCATCTTCTACCTGCACAGCAACAAGGTGCGCAACGTGCGCGGCCTGGCGCACCTGCAGTTCTGCGACAAGCTGCTGCGCTTCACCATGCACTGCAACCCGGTGTGCGAGAAGCCGCTCTACAGATACAAGGCCATAGCGCTGCTGCCGCGCACGGTGACCAGCTTGGATTTCTCCGCCGTCACCAAGTCGGAGAAGGCGGCGGCTCACACCTGGTACGAGACGGACGGCAAGCAGTACTTCTCATCGCCGGAGCTGACCAAGCAGCTGCTGCGCGAGCACGATGAGCGGGGCGTGTCAGGCATGGCCACGACTACTGCCGACGACTCTGACGAGGACTTTGAGTTGGACTTTGCGAACTGATTCCGCTGCCGGCCGTGGTAGAGCGCCTGCTTCGATCAGGACCTTAGCCGGTGAACATCAAAGCATGTCGGGCGCCGCGTCAGCATGAAACCGTAGCACCATTCAGGCCTCCGCTAGAGTATGTGATAGGTACTATGGCCGATGTATCTATCCAACCCTATCGCCAGTACTACAGCATGCATCTGCATGAACTTCAAAGTGTCAATAAGCACTCGGATGCCGTGCAACCTGTGCTCGTGTAGACTAGCTTGTGCCAGCGGTTGCCGTGACGCTGAACAGGGATGCATTGCCATTGGTCATGTGAGTGAACTCTCCGCACTAGCTGTTGCCGTTCTCGGCGTATACGTCTCGGGGCTGCGAGCATAACCCGGCAGCACACACGGTAACGCCGGCAACACTGCTCTGTGCTGGCGCCATCTTGATTCAAGCTCGCGCCGCGTTCGCTTTACCGAGTCTGGTCTACCGTCCATCGTTGTGCAGGCTGGTGTGCGTGCGCCTTTGCGAACGACTCGGCCTGCGCGAGTGCGCTCGTTGTGCATGCATGCTGGCTGCCGTGCTGCATGACAGGCGGTGGTGAGCCTGTTCGCCGGAGGATTCGGTCTGGTGGCACATGTCTTGTTCTCATGCAACGCCATTACCTGTACATGTATAATAATTATACGAGTCTTTCCCCTCTGCACTTTCCCCTCAAACGAATGGAGATGACTGTTGGTTTTGCAGTGTTTCACAGTCTTTTCTTCACAAGCTAACGTTAACCTTCCCAGACTACATAGCCTGTCTTGACTGCTCTTGTCTTGTCTTGTCTTGTCTTCTGGAATTGACTTCTGGACTTTGTCTTGACTGAGTGCAAGAATTCGCTGCTCTCGCGCATGCAGATCTCTGCGGACAGAATTTGTATGCATGCATTGTGTCATGCGTTATCGAGTGTGCGTAAGTGTGTGCTTTTATCGACACTTGAACTTTTGACAAGTTAAACAACACTGTTATTTAGGCAATTTTGTCTTGGCATACATCTATTCTTCTCTCCATATTAACCCTGTTATCTCTCCGAAGAAAACATTTATTGTCGAAACATCAATTATTACTATATCACTATCGTCATCCTGGTGCGTGGTTCGGCTACATCAATACATCTACCGTAGTTGTATTTGGCAGTAGTCACTGAGACAAGTTTGGAACAAAATTAGGCTGGTATCTGCACCTGGCCTCTATCTTTTCTTCACTACACAATTGGGCAACCTTGCACATGCATCATTAATCATCATTAATGCCACAGACCCTCCAATGCAGCTGTTTCGCTCCAACGGAGCTCAGTGGAGGACTGGACGTAGTGGATGATTCAGGACTGAGGTGTATTCTTACTATTTATCACTCCGGGGTTACCGATTGTTTTTACAAAACGAAAAGTTTTAGTATTTTTCAGCCCCCACCCACGCACCCACCTTTACTGCAGGTAAAACGAATTCCAATAAAATATTGATGTCAATTTTCGACACCCAGAAGTAACTGGGCATTCTCCATCAGCATTCAATAATTATTTTCAAAACGAAACTCCATCAAACCCACCCACCCACAAACGAAAACATTTCGTTTTGAAAATATTATTGGTAACCTTGGACGGCCCCTTAGTATTGACTCGCATAGATTTTTGCCATACCTAAGCAGTCAAATATTCCTGCATATTTCACTCCTTAGGGCTATATTGACTGCTTATATTTGACTGCTTAGGGGTTGCGCAGTTGATTGGTGCCTAGTGAAGCATTGTCACTGCATGAGTAGTAGTAGTAGTAGTAGTAGTAGAATTTATTATTTTGATAGGGAAGGCCCTACAGACGTTGCCGTAGGTGGTGGTGCAACGGTTGTGCAATCATAAAACCGGGATTCATGAGGTTATCGTTCTGGAATTTGAAATACGGACTGTTTGTCGTGATAAATCTAATATTGACTTCGTACTTGGTCAGTATAGGAAATAAAAACCTCGTAAAAGACCTCGGCTTCGCCTCGGTCTTTTACTCGGCTTTTATTTCCTATATTGACCTCGTACTCAGTCAATATTAGATACGTATCACTATCCTACCGATAATAATAATAGATGCATGGCATGCCTAGACGCGAACAGACTGACCGTTCTAAATACAAAAGCACATGGCTGGTATTCTGAGCTAGAGTAGAAGGACATTGTATTTGCATTTATGGATTCTCCACAGGCCTTAGCCTAAATCGAGGGAGTCTCCGTCAACAGCTTTTAAACGCTACTCTACGTGGAATGAAACCGAGGGCTCATAACGGGTGCCACAAAATGGGTGCGGACAAGAGCGATAAAACATTTGGCCTGGATACAGCACGAATGGCAGCAGGGAGGGAGTTTCATGTGGCAGTGGTGACAAAGAGAAAGGTGGCACGGGTGTATGTGCTAGCTCCAGCAGGCGGGAGTAGATGTTGGGGGCGCCTGGCGCTGTTTGATACTGTGTGGCCTAGGTCCTCCAGGGTCGTAATCTGGCCATGGAGAAGGTGGTGGAGCTCAAGAAGGCACTGAAATGTGTCTTCGCCATGCGAGACTGGGCCCACTGGAGGTGCGCGAAAAGTGAGGCTTTCGGCTCCGTTTGAGGAGGATACACGCCATACTGCCGCAGGATTACACGTGCCACTCTTGCCTGTAGGCCGTTCAAAGGTAGTAAGTAGCCTGATCACTGGAGACTTGAAATTGCCAGAGGGACGAGGCGTATTCAACCACAGGTCGAACATATCCAGCGTACAAGCGGCTGGCTACTGCTGGGGTGATCTGGTGATACGCTTGGTCATGTGGATCAGCAAGACTACTCGCTGGCGGAACTTTGTCGTGATGGTGGCGATGTGGCTGGTGAAGTTTTGCAGAGAACTAGCATAGACCATGGCATAGGGTGTGTTGCTCCCTCACGAGGCCACGTGGGAGCTCGCGCTTTCCTGCCGACTTGAATTCTCACTTGACGGATTCGGCACGACTGCCATACAGAGCACACGAGAAGTCCATCAAACCTTCCACTCGGCAAACCTGCAAGAAAGAACCACTCCCTGCTGAATACACAGTTTTTCGGGGAATTCACCCCTCATCAGTTGAGCTTGAATAGGCTGAATAGGCTGAAGAAGATTTTGCCTGCACCACTTATATAGTAGATTTATTTATTTATTTATTTTGCTCTCCCGGCCGGCATAAACATCGCCAGGGATACAAACTTACAGAGATGCTCCGTTTCCAGCGCGAGAAACACCTCGCGTGAACACCAGATAGCAGCGTCAGTCAGTGTCGCTCATGGAGGTGAAGAACAAGCGCAGAGGACCGTTAGCAACATCGTTGCCTCCAAACCATCTAATTCGCAAGTCCGCGGTGGGGACCACAATGTGAAGAAGAGGTTGGTGCGACTTCGGCGATACTTGGGGAATTGTGTGTTGCTCCCTACGTGGGAGCTCGCGCTTTCCTGCCGACTTGAGTTCTCACTTGGCTGACTCACGACTGCCGTCCAGAGCACACGAGAAGTCCATCGAACCTTCCACTCGACAATATTTGCAATATTATCGTATTGTCACATGCGGGCACGAGGTGTAAGACATAGGTGTGAAAACAGGTGTTAGGAAGGTGACAATGACTGAATGTGACAATATGCATTGGTCCTGGTGGTGAATAATCTCACCTACACCTTTGCCGCTCAACTCGCTGTATCTGTTATTCTTATGGCGCCAGATCATGCTGTGTTTGGCAGAAGGATTTTGTTCTCACGATATGTTTTGGTGCTGGCGTTAAATCTAAATGTCTCACTTTCACCTTGTAGCCCATCAAGCCCTTTATTTGCGAGACTTGGTCTAGATCGTTTGGCATCCATGTATTGCAAGAAATTACTGTATCTGACGTGGCGCTCAGCGGCGGCTGTAGTGTCACATTAAGGGGGCAGCCTACCCATAAATTTCATATGGCATTCAATTGACCGTAACTTTGGTGTTTCTCAATGGATTTGAGTGAAATTTTGACCACACACTCCTGCCACTATGCTGGCCCTCAGGACATGATTTACAAGTTCTTGCGCCTCACTGACAGGCTTTCCAGGCCGGAAAAACTCAAATTTCCGGCATAGTGCCACGGTGTGCGAGCCACCCAGGAGCCAAACAAATGCATTTACAATTTTTTTCACATTTTCGTGCTCATTCTGTTCGTGCGCGGGACTCAAACCTAGAACAAGTCCAGAAGCAGCCATGGGTGATGGGGTAGGGCCCCTCAACGAGGCCCTGGAATCTGTCACAACGGAACGAGTGGGCGTTCTCTCACACACTCCCACAGACCCAAGTCAATTTTTGAATTTTTTTAGGTTTAGCACGTGCTACGAGGTCGTACCTTTGATACAACATCCAGTGCTGGGACCTCCACAGCAAGCCATTTCCACAGCGCTGCACACCAAATCCAGGATACCCTCAGAAACCGGCAAAGACTACCACTCACGTTTCACTACTGCCTAGTACTGAATCCTACCTGACTTCTTGACACGACTCAAACTACTTGCCAAAGTCACTAAATCAACGTCAACTACAATAATCAAGCCACATACATGTATCTGCAACGTCACGAGGGTGCTGGCAAAAGTCCTGCTTCGCCCGCCGCCGTGCAGCCCAATACGTGGCTCAAAAACCTGATTTTTTGGAGCAAAATTCTGCACACTTTCACGTGTTTCCATGATACGACAAGTTGCGCACGGTCTGCTCACACGAAGTTCAAATACAGTGCCAACAAATGACAGCGTGCAACAAAAAAAATCTTTCCTTGCAAGGGCACATTTTCGGCCATAACTCTTGAACGGCCGGTCAGATCGGGACATAATTTTCAGAGAATTTGCAGCTATTCATGCTGTTTCAACTGACATAGCACTCAATATGAATTTACAAATTCGATTTTTCAGCGAATTTTTGGGTAGTCTGCCACCTTAAGGGGGCACATCACCCAAAAATTCGCTGAAAAATCGAATTTGTAAATTCATATTGAGTGCTACGTCAGTTGAAAGAGCATGAATAGCTGCAAATTCTCTGAAAACTGTGTCCCTATCTGACCAGGTACCAGCCGTTCAAGAGTTATGGCCGAAAATGTGCCCTTGCAAGGAAAGATTTTTTTGTTGCATGCTGTCATTTGTTGGCAGCACTGTATTTGAATGTGAGCAGACCGTGCGCAACTTGTCGTATTATGGAAACACGCGAAAGTGTGCAGAATTTTGCCCCAACTGGCCCAAGTCCAAAAAAGTCCAAAAAATCACGTTAAAAAACCACGTATTGGGCTGCAGGACTTTTGCCAGCACCCTCGTGACGTTGCAGATATGTGGCTTGATTTTTGTAGTTGACGTTGATTTAGTGACTTTGGCAAGTTTGAGTCGTGTCAAGAAGTCAGGTAGGATTCAGTACTAGGCAGTAGTGAAACGTGAGTGGCAGTCTTTGCCGGTTTCTGAGGGCATCCTGGATTTGGTGTGCAGCGCTGTGGAAATGGCTTGCTGTGGAGGTCCCAGCACTGGATGTTGTATCAAAGGTACGACCTCGTAGCACGTGCTAAACCTAAAAAAATTCAAAAATTGACTTGGGTCTGTGGGAGTCCGTGAGAGAACGCCCACTCGTTCCGTTGTGACAGATTCCAGGGCCACGTTGAGGGGCCCTACCCCACCACCCATGGCTGCTTCTGGACTTGTTTTAGGTTCGGGTCCCGCGCACGAACAGAATGGGCACGAAAATGTGAAAAAATGTAAATGCATTTGTTTGGCTCCTGGGTGGCCCGCACACCGTAGCACTATGCCGGAAATTTGAGTTTTTCCGGGCTGGAAGCCTGTCAGTGAGGCGCAAGAACTTGTAAATCATGTCCTGAGGGCCAGCATAGTGGCAGGAGTGTGTGGTCAATATTTCACTCAAATCCACTGAGAAACACCAAAGTTACGGTCAATTGAATGCCATATGAAATTTTTGGGTGATGTGCCCCCTTAATTAGGTCAAATGTTCGAGCGTTTAAATAATGGTCTTGCACGCGCAGCCTTGTATCACGCACTCTTAAGTTGCCCATGCTCAGAACTGCCTTTGCCCGTCATGGCGCT